CAGGAAGTGCTGCAGCCACCTGTTGCCTGATGTTTGAAAGCATTCGAGAGAGGTTAACACAATAATTCAACATGTTGTTTTCACAGAGGGTGGTAGACGGGAGCGGACCTGTCGGTTTGTGAAGCCCCACAGAGGGTGGGACTGCGAACAGGATCTCATATGGGCTGAGACCGCTGCGTTCTCGTCTACGCATTCTCATGTACATCAATACTAGTGGCAGTGCCTGTGTCCACGGAAGTCCAGTCTCGGCACAGCACTTTGCCAGCTTACTTTTCAATGTGCCATTCTCTCTCTCTACTGCCCCGCCAGACGCGGGATGGTAAGCACAATGTGTCCTCAGGTCTATGCCTATGTACTTACTTACCTCAGAGATGGCGGAATTGACAAAGTGTGGACCATTGTCGCTCGACAACTTACCTGGGATCCCCCACCTGGGAATGATTTCCGTCAGCAGTGCCTTTGCCACTACTGATGCGGTTTGCTTAGTGGAAGGGAACACTTCTACCCATTTTGACCACATGTCCACCATCACTAAGCAATGAGACTTACCCTCTGATGGGGACAGTTCAATGAAATCCATCATGACATGCTCGAAGGGTCTGGTGGGTGGAGGGTGTGCTGCCTGTTGTGTTAGCTGAATTGGTCGGCCTGGATTGTATGTGGCGCAAGTGATGCATCTTTTGCAGAAATCTTGAGCGTAGGTTGAAAACCCTTTAGTGAACCATGTGTCGTTTATCTGCATACACATCCCCCCTTTTGACACATGGTCTCGTCCATGTGTCAATTTAGCATAGTGGGGAAAGAAATGTCGGGGTAGGCATGGCTTACCATCATGCCCTCGCCAAACACCGTTTTCAAAGGTGGCCCCGCAGGAGGACCAAGTACGGCGTTCTTCCGGGGAAGCAAAGGACTGTAATGCAGAAAGATCATCAGGCACGGAAATGGGAGGTTCGACCTGCAAGAGAGTGGTCACATGAGGGGCGCACGGGCGGTTAGCTGCAGCCTTTGCAGCGGCATCAGCCCGAGCGTTGCCTCTGGACACCTCGTCGTCGTGGCCAGTGTGTGCTGCGCATTTACAGACAGCAATGGAGGAAGGAAGGAGAATCGCGTCGAGCAAGTGGCCAATCAAGATGTGGTTGAGGACAGGCTTTCCGTCGGATTTCAAGAACCCTCTGTGTCTCCACAGTGCCCCAAAGTCGTGGACCACACCGAAGGCATAGCGAGAGTCGGTGTAGATGGTGACTGACCGGCCTTCGGCAACTCCGCACGCTGCAGTGAGAGCCACCAATTCCGCTGCCTGTGCAGAGTAATGAGATGGGAGAGAGTCGGACAGGAGAACATCAGAATTGGAACAGACGGCAAAACCCACGTGGTTGAGACCCGTAGTCGGATCCCTAGAGGCTGACCCATCCACGAACAGGACAAGGTCAGGATTGGAAAGAGGCATGTCTGAGAGATCAGGTCGTGGAGAGCAAGAAAGGGAGAGCTCGGCCATGCAGTCGTGAGGATCGCCGTCATCCTCCGTGGGAAGCAACGTAGCTGGGTTGAGAACATTGCACCGGCGAACGGTGACGTTCGGCATATCAAGAAGGCAGGTGTGGTACCTCAGATGACGAGCAGCAGAGAGATGTGACGTTTTCTGTTCAGATAAGATAAGAGTGACAGAATGCGGTACCAAAAGAGTCAGTGGGGCGTAGCCCACAATGTCCCTGGAGGCTAAGAGAGCCTTCTCAGCTGCGGCTACTGCTCTCAGGCAGCGGGGCATTCCCGCAGCAACAGGGTCAAGTTTACAGGAGAAATACGCCACAGGCCTCAATTTGTCACCGTGAGGTTGAAGGAGAACAGAAGTCATACAACCTGCTCGCTCATCGACAGTCTGGGTAAAAGGTTTATGAGGATCTGGTAGACCCAGAGTTGGAGGGGTCTGGAGAGCCGTCTTGAGGGTGACGAAAGCATCGTCGGCCTCCGGCGTCCAAGTGAGATCAGGTCCACCCTGTGGTGTGGTGGTGTGAAGCAAAGCCCTCAAGGGTTTCTCAGTTTCCGAGTAGTTAGGGATGAAACTGCGGCAATAAGAGAATAGACCTAAAAGAGACATTAGTTGTTTCTTCGTGACCGGTCTAGGGAGCTGAGAAATAGTTCTGATTCGTTTTGGCGATAGAGTTTTCCCTTGTGCGGACACGATGTGTCCCAGAAAAGTAACCTCTCTTCTCACGAACTGCAGTTTGTTCAGGCTGGCTTTGTGACCTTCCGCTGCCAAGTGTTTGAGGAGCGCAAGGGTGTCGGTTAGACACTGTTCCTCAGAAGGTGCAGCAATGAGCAGGTCGTCGACGTACTGCAGGAGGGCGGAACCTGGAGACAGAGTCAGAGATGACAGTGATTCACAAAGAGCATCGTTGTAAATGGTGGGACTTTCACAATAGCCCTGACAAAGGCGGGTGAAGGGGTAGCCCTGGCCATTGAATTGGAAGGCGAACCAGAACTGGGAGTCTGGGTGCACTGGGACGCTGAAAAAGGCATTGGAAAGGTCGACAACAGAGAACCATTTAGCATCAGACGGGATCTGAGTAAGAATGGTGTATGGGTTTGGAACTCGTGGAGCCCGTGCATGTACTGCTGCGTTGACTGCCTTGAGGTCTTGGACAAAGCGCCACTCTGGTTCAGCCGGGGGTTCCCTGGCTTTCATGACAGGTAGAATGGGTGTACACACAGGAGAGTCGTTACATGGTACGATGACTCCGGCTTCTAGAAGAGAGTTGAACACAGGTTTGATTCCTTCAATAGCTTCTGGCTTGAGAGGGTACTGAAATCGCTTTGGGCGGAACGAGGACTTGGGGGTTATTACGACTGGTTCAGCACCTCTTATGAGGCCAACGTCGTATTTCCCAGTAGCCCACAGAGAAGATGGGATGCAAGAGAGGGACGGGTGGACGTCAGTGGGAGTCATGGACATTGTAAGTTGAGTGTGCACATCTGGGACGTTAAGGTGCAGTGACCTCAGGGCAGGTATGTGGTGATGAAATGGTTGTGTGTATATATGTGTACTGGGAGAGTAAGAGACAGAGGGGTCGTCGGTCCCCTGCCAGTCGGTCAGTTGGGTACAAACCTCCCCCCACGTCCCTCGGTCCTGCCACTCGTCAGTGGAGGACTTTGCCAATGAGATGTGTGGGTGTGAGCCTTCAACTAAGAAGAGGTCATACTGAGTGGGAGTGAGCTGGACGGAGATAGCGCAGCGCCACGTGTTCCAAAACACGGAAGTTAACTGCAATGAGTCATGGATGTGTGAGTAGAAAGTGCTTTCGTACTTGTCATCCGGATGTGGGGAAACATAGGAGGTGCAGTGGAGCGCTTCATGAGACATAAACACTGCTGATGGGTTAACCCTTTGGTGGGCTATACTGAGCATAGGAACATCATACGGAGTCAACACCTTCCATTGATAAATATACAGAGGGCCCTCATGAGTATACGTCACCAGATCATCAAAGTCGACGTTGCAAGAGCAGACCAGTTGTAGGGCTTGTTCCTCGGACGACGAGGATCCCTCCATGGCTGAGTTGCCATCTGGCGTCGAGTCTTTGCGCACAGCGACAACCCCTCCTGGTGTGGACACCAGGTCAATGCCCAGTCTCAGCATAAGGTCTCGGCCCATGAGATTGATTGGACAACATGGGGACAGGAGAAAGGAGTGTTTAAAAACAGTAAATGGGTTGTCACAGAATGTGCGAAGTGGTGACGTGAAACTCTCTTTTACAGTGGTACCAGATGCGCCAGTAGAAAACAAAAACCGACCACTCATCTTGACCCCCGGGAGGTCACTTGATCTGATAACAGAGTGGGTGGCCCCGGAATCAACAAGGAACTCAATAGATTTCTGCAAGACATTTAAGGAGAACTTTGGCAGACTCAGGCAATTGGTCATGGTGTAATGTACATAGGTGCCAGTAGGTGGAGATTCTTTCTGCGTGAGAGTGGTAATAGCAGTGGATAGCATGTCATGTGTGAGTGGAGTGGTATGGTCTTCTGTTTCTGTCCCTAGGGTGGATATGCGTGTAGACATTTGTGTGTGTGTGTGTGTGTGTGCGGCTCTTCCCTTTGGTGTAGCTTGTAGCGATGTGGATGTTGACGTGACGTCAGACGCCCCCTCTGCGCCCTCCTGTAGAAAGAGTAAGTCGGCTTGTAATTGGGGATTGGAGGGTCCTGGTCCCCATCTGGACGACCCTCTGGATCGGCCGGTGGGGCCTGGGCCCTCCCGACGCGGGGGGGGACGATCATGGCGTCGGTGGGGACAGTCTCTAGCCCAGTGTCCAGATTCCCCGCAGTAGTAGCAGGCGTCTTGGGAAGGGAGGTTGCGTGGCCCAGTCTGGGTTCGGTTGGACCATGGGCGGCGGCCTCGGTTCATGCCCCGTCCTCTTGTGGCGTAGCCATGTTGCGGTGGTCCCGCTGGCGGCTGGTCTTGAAGTGCTGTAACCGCCTGGAGGAGGGCGAGTTGGGTCTTGTGAGTTTCAGACTCTCTGGACTTCTTTGTCTTCGTCTTCTCGGCTTTGTGTTGTCTCTCAGCGTGAGATGCATGGCGCTCCACTTCAGTGAGGCGAGCTTCGTCGAGTCCAATACAGGTATCTTCTACCCCTTTTCTCAGGTGGGGTAGTAGGCCTTGCAGAAACATGGCCTTGAGGTGGGACTCGTACGGTGTTATTGGGCCTTCTGGGTCGTCAGGCGGCGTCAGCCCGGAGTGAGCGTCAAAGCATTCGGTCAGACGGTGTTTGAAGTCCGCCACGTCTTCGCCTTCTTTCTGCTTGCAGGCAGTGACCTTGCTGAGCTCACAGCGGACAGGGAAACTTTCAATGAGTGCGAGGCCCAGTCTCTCCAGCCATTCCTTGTAATCATTGTTGCGGTTGTGGCCCCATTCAGGGTGTGAAGGGCTGAGGTTTTCATCCTGTCTTGGGAGGGCGGCGGAGATTTTGGCGAACTTCGTCGGTCCCAGTTTGTGCATCAGGATGCGATTCAGTTCTTGTGATGTTGGCATAAACTGTTGGCAGAAGACGAGAAGGTCGCTGTAGAAAACTCGTCCACCTCGGTCGATGGGGGGCAAGTGACTGGTTGCGTCCATAAGGTCTTGTGTAGTCCAGGGGCGATAGACCAGCATGGACTGTCCTCCTCCCGCCGCCACCTGGACCATGGGCAGAGTCATGATCTGACTATCAGACGATGAGCCGGATACACTGGAGAAGTTGAGACATTCATCATGTTGTCCACCAGATGGCGGTGGAGCCCCATATGCAACTTGGTTTCTCGTGTGGGGAGGGCTAAAGGCTTCCGTCGAAGGGGAAGGACCAGATCCTCCCTGGCGGGGGGTGGATGCCATCACTGGAGGCATGGTGCGGGAGAGGTTGGCCTGGGTTGGAGGAGGTGGGGCATAAGGAGGGGGAGTCTCGTCGTCACCTCGACATGCACCATTCCCTGAAAGACGAGGGTACAAAGAAGAGCTCTTATTCTTTGGTATATCTGAGTCATTATCATCAAGCAATTTAGGCAGCGTTTGACATGTCTGTTTTCGATCGCGTTTATCACCCTCCCCGACCCATATTTTGTGACACTCTTCCTGTTCTAACATACATTTGAGTTTGTCTGTACTAACTTTCCCTTTTTTTCATTATCTTTTCTCTTTCTACTTGCAAGTTTTCTTTTAATTTACTCAACTGGTTCGAACTCAACGAACCTCCCTCCGGAAACCCGTGTGATTCGGTCCAGTCGTTTAAGTATTTTACGCACTTATCTCCATATTTTTTAATCATTAACTGTACGATTGGTCCTTCTGGAGGAGGTTTTGTACTTCCAGAATTACCCATTTTGGTAGTCCCTGACTACTGACGTCGTTATGTGTCCCTGACACAACCTAGGTTTTCTCGTTTAAGGATCCCGGATCCTATCGTATCCCTGATACGTTTCTTTTAAGGTTCCCTGAACCTTTTGTGTCCCTGACACAATCTTATATTTTAAGGTTCCCTGAACCTTGTGTGTCTCTGACACACTTTTATAGTCCCTGACTATATTTGATACCTGTCCCTGACACGGTATAAGAATCCCGGATTCTTTCTTTTAGTCCCTGATTAAACCTCCAGTGCCCCTGACACTACTTATACGTTTTTGTTTTTTTGTTTTTTTTCTTTTTTTTAATCCCGGTTTTGACCACCATTTAACAATTACACAATATACATAAAATTCCAACACCCAAGAAGTAATATTAATCAGATAATAATATTTCCACAATAATGACAGTTAAATTCTGTCACGATCTACTTAATTACAATTTTATGGAAAAGATACGTCTTACCGAAGTGATATGTAGATCGTTTTGTGGTTGGTCGCGGCCTCAGGACGCCAGTCCCCTCTTCTCTGAATGGAATTTTGGGTAGAGGTAAAGGATGCAGTACCGGTTTCTTCAAGACTTTGTCTCCGACGTCCTTCGGTCCGGACGGACCAGCAAACGATCCCACTTCTGACACCAAAA